AGTAAGTTATTTACTTCATACAATACAATTATTAATTAATATACGAGTATACAATCGTAAATCTAATTGTAAATACTTTTATTAATTTTTTAGAAAGAAAAAGAAGAGGAGCCGGCCGCTCTAGGGCCCGCTGGTACCGCCAGCGAGGAGGCTTTGCCAGCGGTAGAGGAGAACGTGGCGGTACCGGAGGACGATGCGCCCGTAGCAGCAGAGGAGGCCGTGGCGGCAGAGGAGGCCCTGGCGGTAGAGGGGGCCGTGGCGGCCTCACAATAATAAAAAATATTTTTATTAAGTAATATTCAATAAATAAAATAAAAAATGAAAAAATTGGTTTTTTTTATTATATAATGCCTGAAAGTACAGCGTAGTAATATAGTATAGCATAGTTAAATAGTATACTACAAAAAAAGTATTAGTGTTAGTATATAATAGTATATAATATAATATATATTACTATTTAAAATACAATGTGGTATAATAGGGCTACCGGCGAAGGTCCACGTTGAAAAACCTAACGCGCTATAAGTGGCACCTCATGGGTGGCGCGGAAGACCACTCAATAATTAATAATAAAACTATTTGAGATTTAAATTAGGCTTGTAATCGATCAAAGATTGTCAATGATATCGTGTAGAACCGGCGCGTTTAGGTCCGTAACTACACGCGTACCGATCTGTCAACTGTTATTGATTTTTACAAGTCAGGTAATATTGATTTTTACTGCACAGCTGATTTTCCACGGACGCAAAATGCATGTGGATTTTCGTCACTCGAAATATGGGAGTTGTGACTGTTAAATACTCCTTCACCAGTAAAACATGACTCGTCCGTAAATAAAATTTTAATGACCAAATCAGAATCTCTATTTTAATTCTCTAATAACAATGTATAAAATTAGATTCTTCTAGATGAAAATGTTTTCAATAAAGATGCGTTACATTGTATTTATTGTAAGCGTTTTAATCTGATACAGAAAATACAATAAGTATATCGTAATGTTCATGTATAATCTCCCATCATTTTCTACATGATTATTGGAAAATGAAAATAAAGATTCTGGTTTTGTCCATAAAATTTTATTTACAGACGAGTCACGTTTTACTCGTGAAGGAGTAGTTAACAGCCACAACTCTCACATTTGGAGTAACGAAAATCCACATGCATTTCACGTCCGTGAAAAATCAGCTGTGCAGTAAAAATCAATATCACCTGACTTGTAAAAATCAATAGCAGTTGACAGATCGGTACGCGTGTACGTGTAATTGCGGACCTGAGCGTGCCAGGCGAGCGTCCTACGCGACATCATTAGCATCTTTTGATCGTTTATAACTTAAAAACTATTGTAGCCTTGATATTTTTGTATTAAGATTCTTTACTCTATTTTATCTCCAAAAGATACTATTAAAGTATTAAGCGGTAGTTATGAGACACCCTGTATAACATAATATTAAACTCTAAAGTATTAACTATCGCAATTAACGCATATTAATAATTCATAAACATTTAATGTTCTGATATTTTATTAATATCAATATTATTTACTTTTTACAAGATCACATAAATCTTGAAAAAGCATTTCACGTTGTCATACGCAACAAGCGCGCAACGTCGCTTTGATAAAAGGAGACGGAACACGTATGTCCACTCGCTTCTACAAACTGAACGACGAAGCGCACACGTACGTGTGACGTCACGATTCTCGTTTGTGTGCGTGCTTCCTCTACCGCGGTGCTCGGGTGCTGGCCGGCTCGAGTTTGCATCACTGCTACTAATACAAAAGTCTTGAATATCGCGTCTCTCATTTGCGTAGTTCACTATGTCGTGAATACTATACAGTGTAAACAAATTTTACAACTGCTTTATTGCGCGCTCTCGGCGGCTGTAAATCCAATAAATACCTGAGCTCATTTCCTTTTGGTAAAATGCGTTATACGTTGAGTTTACGAGAAAATTATTGTCATCGAAAATAATAGCATAATTTCAAACGTCATAAAATATGATTTTTGTCATTAAAATTAGTATAATTTCTTTTTTGTAAAAATGCATTCAAATAAAATATCGTAATATTTCATTTGTATCACATTTATTTAATTTTATGATTTAATACTGATTAATGTGTAATTTATTTATACTTACACTTGTATATATACATATAATTGAATCTCGATTATCGGAAAAACTTATTAATATTTTTCTTTGTGGAAATGTAAAAATATTATAATAAAGTAATTAAATTTTTATCTAAAATCGTAGCATAGCTATAGAGTTCTATGCATATTAGATATTAAAATCATGTGTTTGACTTCTAATAATTATTTTAAAAAATTTTTTTTAAATTATGCATATCAGAAAATGTTATTTTAAATTCTTCTCTTCCGTGAAATAAAGAAAATATAGTTTATACTTTATTCAATGACAACTTAAATATTGCGGTAAATAATTGACTTAGCTCGCGATTTATTTTCATATATGCACAGATCTCGCAACAAAGCTACAATGTAAGTAAGTATAAAGTTATGAAAAAATATATTTGCCGTATCACATAAGTACAGGATGTATCTTCTAAACCGATATCTGAGTCGCCATACACATTGCAATCGTAGCCACGGATCGATATCGGTAAGTAAACTCATTACTCAACACCCATTTATCGCAGCAAACTGTGAAACTCAGTGTGAAAAATATGCTCTCTCTCATATCGGTCAAACGGTTTTTTTAGATTATACAGCGCATCATATTTTTAATTGTAATATTTGATAATATTTTTAATGATTGAAAACGTACCCGATACACGTAGCACAAAGAATCAATCATGATTTCGTGGATAATGTAACAATATCTTGTCAATTTATCATCATTTTGCCGTGTTATTGCGCAATCGATATTTTTTGAATAATTAAAATATTGGTGAATATTATTAAAGTACAATATAGAACAGTTTAACATTTATATCAATTTCGTCGTAAATTTAATTGGCAAATAACTTTGCATACGCGTGCGCGACAGTACATTTACAAACATAACACTGCAAACGTACGCACCTGTGATATATATCGGCTAATAGATAAGCCTATATAAAACATTCGCGGGGATAATAAGTGGGATATCTAACTAGTCTGATGTAGTCGGTGATAATCAGTTTGCACCCGATTTTGCAACTTGCACTGGATTACATATCTGTTTGTCGTCGAGCACGTTCGCAAGGAGTGCAATTAATGGCAGTTGTTAGGGAAATTTTTACTTTCTCAAATACTAAGTTTATCTCTTACGAACAAGACTGTCATCTAGACTTACTGTCTACAAAGAACTTACTAGATTACAAAAATGCGCCATATATATAATCTTATTATATCTTTCAATTTAAAAAAAATTGAAAATTACTGATAATTACTAATAATTTGAGAATATGTCTACATAATTGTATATGTGTAGTAATTATTATTCGGATATGTTACAAAATTAATATACATAATTTTATTGGCGGATTTTCCGCCAATTCAAGTAATGACAAATTTCAACAAAATTTATTGTTTGTTATTTATATATTTCCTTGAATAATTGATAAAATATGTTTTAATTTTGATAAATAATTAAAGTAAAAAACAAACAAAATTTACTTCTAGTAATAATTAATGTAACTTTTTAGTAATTGTTTTAATGATTAATAATAAAAGACTTAAAAATGATTATTCATAAATAATGACTTTACAAAGAGTTATTTACGAATGCACCACACTATGAGAATTGCTTCGAGACCTTCTTTTGAAGGACCTTCTCGTACTTGATTTTAATCGAGCTACGTGATCACTGATCGAAACTGCCGAATCGCACTTGGCAATAGGTAGAAATTGTCATTACTAATCACTCAAGATAACAGCGCCCGTCATTGTCAACATGCGCATAATCTGACATGAAGCAATTTGCGATAAGTCAAACGAAAAATAAGGATCTTTACTATCGAACTTAGTACTTCCCCGTTTCTGATGGTTACAAAAAAATAACGTAGATCCCAACGATGTAAGGTCGTCTACGTGCACGGAATACGAATTACGTACATCGATATTTATAGGATACGTGTAAAGGACAACATATACATTCGTCAGGTTAAACAGAAGTTAAAGATATGTTGATAGGTGTTTCGAAAGTCACAAATCAATTTGTGACTCATTTTGAAACACGCTGACAATCGTTTCAAATGAAATATTATAAAACCGAATTAGCGATTCAGTGACGCAAGTCGACTTACGTCAAGCTTAAATAATAATACCAATGCCATTTTCATAACAACAAAGCAATTAAAAATTTATACACCTAGCATTTTGACATTGTCAAAGATTATTAAAAGTATACCGAACACGCATGTGATAGACTATTTATTTTATAAAATTTTTATAAAACAAAAGTTTCTTTTTTCACTAAAGGTTTAAAAAAGTATTTCAAAAATTGTGTATTGAAAATTCTTGGAGAAAAATTTTAACAAAACATATATCTAATAAATTTTACATATATCTCATATAAGTATAATCATATTTTAAAATATTTCTATAAAACATTTGTATAAATTATCAAATAATATCTTTCTTAATAAGTAGTTTTTAAGTTAATAAGAAAATAAGTAGTTTAAGTAAAACTGGAATAAACTTTTATAGACTTTGCAAATAAATTGTCATCTAAATTTGAATGTCTCTTTATTTCAAGAATCAATAATTCTTCTAATATTATCATGCTAATGCATTATGCATCAAGCTATCAGAATATTTCACTTTAAACGATTGTATAATTATCTACTGGAAATGTCATTCTTTATTGCATAAAAAGCTAGAAGAAATCCTGTTTCCGCAGAATCATGAAATTGTATTCTCTTTAAGGATAAATCTCTAAGTAAGCATAATTTCCAATGACACTCTACTCTTTTTGAACTCAATCAATTGACGACTCCCCCACCCTTAAAGTCGAGTGGGAGGGAACCCGATTAATTTCCCAGACGTTCGCGAATCGATCTTAGCGATTCACCTTAGGATCTGGCTCCCACTACGGCCGACGAGATAGCGCACGTGCATACATTGACGAGGTAGACACACAAGCGCCCGATGAGAACGAGAAGGAGGACTGACAATCAAACTACGCTTTCTTTTATCAGTCAAGTTGACTCGCGCGCGGCACGCAGGCACCTCCATGCGCTCCGAAAATCAAAAGTGGAAAATTGGTTTTCTTCATCAATCGTATAGTGTACTTAATAACGCTGGAAGTCTTGACAAAGTGCTCGAACTTCTTGTGGATCGCTTTACGCAAATCGCGTAAATCATTTAAAAGGGCACGTGTAGAATATCGGAACCGTACAATCGTGGTCGTGTACAAATCGAGGCTGGAACTGTTGTCTAGACTGCTGAAACCATTATCATTGTTAACGAATATTCCAAGAACGAGAGCTCTATTAGTGAATTTCGACACGCTGGCGCAGATTCAATGTGAGCTTCCTATGTAAGTATCGATACGTGATATCTAGAAATTTTGTTATCAGTGATTGGTGTAATCCTGAGAGTTTTGTTGTTATAGTCACAGAGTCATCGGTTGATAGTGATTATCGATATACGAGTACAACTGAGATTTAAACTTTAATCCCGAACAGTACAAGTACAACATCGCTAACATTAGTGAATCGCTTAGTGACACGCATTATCGCGTGTGAGAGTGTTCATAAATTTTCATATTCAATATTCCAATTCTTTTAAGTGTTTTGTTTCAGAGAAAAAATTAAATCATTTTCTACGTTTAAAATATGACATTTGTAAATATAATTTGTAAATATAAAATAGAAATCAAATAAGTTAAGTTTAGAAGAAATAAAACATTACTAAATGAACTGCATGTTTTACAAGTAGACAAATACTTAATAGGAAAACATGATGTAAAATAAAAATTAATGTATATGTGAAATAATTATCTCGTGCGATTTTTAATAAAAGAGTTACATAGTCAAATAAAAAGTTTAAAGTAGAAGTATATTATTTATCTAATTATAAATGTATTTTGTTCAAGAGAATTATATATATCGAATAAAATAATAATATGGTAATCTATCATGAGACATGTATGTGTATTTAGCGCGACACAATTTACAGAGTGACTGATAGATGTAGGTATCTTCAATTGAGATGTACACGATCATACGTAAACACTAAACAAAATTGCCATATTATACTAGCATCAAATTTGTTAATATAATCAAAATAAATAATCAGTGATAAAAGTTATGAACAGATTAAAATTATACATTTTAAAAAGAATAATAATAGAGATAGCAATCTACTATGATTAATCGAGTGATCAATCAATTATTTATTATATCAATTGTTGAATTAAATTTAGTAAATATGATAACTAACATTATCTTGCAGATCTATCAAGATTCATTGATAATCTTTTAAATTTAATTTATTATTAAATTCAAATAGAAGTAGTTGATTATCAGTAACCTTTGTGACGCTATTGAAAATTCATGCGCCGATCATATCGGTTTTTGCTTATTTGTCCGGATATAACTCATAGAGCGCTATCACATGGTCATAAATTATAAAATTTTTCTATATTTTATTTTTTATTATTTGTTTTTTATTTATACAATTGATCTCTCTCTATCAAGTCTCGATTAATAATAATCTCTATGTTTAACAAAATGTTGTCAAATCGCATGATTGATTTTATCTGAAGTCTCGATTAATAATAATCTCTAAGTTTAACAAAATATTATGGAATACTCGCACGATTGACTTTATCTAAAATATATTTTGTTATTTTTACAAGTCAAAAATCACAAAACTCTATGGGCAAACGTGGCAAAAAACGCGCGCGCGCCCCTTTCCCGCACACGCGGACGTAATTCAATTCTCGCGACACGTGCGATCAGATTAAATGATACGAATGAGTTCTGGTTGCCTCTATCATCCCGACGACGTTCTTGCTGATTCTGCATATTGCATTACATGAGAGCAAGCCTGTCTAGAGCAATGACTTGACCAGCCACGACTATCGTTATCAATTGCTGAAGGCCAAAACAACAATCACTGATACAAAATACTTTACTTTCGACCAATGGGAGTTTTTATGCTAATTAGCTTATTGCTAAGTGCGTCGCTACTTATTACCGAGAGTTTAACATGCCTTTAAGTTACTCTAGTTTTACCAATAAAATTTATAATGTTAATTACTTTAAATAAAATTAGGTAATTTATTAAAAACTTTAATAGACAACCGTGTTGTTTTCTAGCTATGTTATTGTGCGCCATCGTTAGTTGAATGAGTAGACGAAATTATCAATCCAAAAATACTACAATTTTATAGTAGGAATTTTAACAAGTAAAAAAAACAAAAAATTACGACTGATATCGTTTTTGCAAGCAACGTGCGACACGAAAGTACGTGCGCCAAACCGTTCACCATTATTTGACATCGATCGCTTTTGTTTGACGGACGTTCTTATTGTCGTGTATGAATTATGCCTAACGCCAGCGAATGATTAGGTTTATATTAAACTATTGATTTTATACGTTTGTAAGATATCCGTGACAAACGCGTTAGTTCTTAGGCGAGTTCGTAAAACGCGAGTGCAAACGTACGAAATCGTCTACTGTTTAAAGATCCTTGAGTGTATGCAAATGATACATGTCGGCATATATGGTGATTTTTAAATTCCAGATCTCTCATTTCCCTTGTCTTTGCACTTTTGTATCTTCGTCATTAATCAGCTCACTTTTTTTTCTTTTTAACGCGGAAGTGCAGATACTTAAACCAAAAAACATAGATATACACCGCTTTTATAACAGAAAGTGGTTTTCATCCAAAATCCGAAAAATAAATCTTAATAAGTAAATCGAATACGCTCTATCAAATGGTGATCTCAACTTCCGGTTTCAACCGGAAGTAGGCTACGAAAGCGATGAACGGATGATCTCACGTGCTCTTACTTTCGAGATTATTTCATGATCAATCAAGGCATTTCCAAGGAAAATTTCAGGCAATAGTTTCGTATTTTTTTACTTAGAATTCGGATCTGCGATAAAAAATACCACGTGCCATTTAAAAAAACCGACTTTCGGACTGAATAGCCCATTGACGTTCAGAACCGCAAGTTGAAAATATCACCATTTGATAAAGCGTATCCGATTTACTTACCAAAATTTTTGGGATTTTTGATCAAATTCACTTCCCTCGGTTTTAAATGGATGGCGCTGGTGGTATGGACACCCTGTATAATTATAATAAATTTAACAGCAACAATAAACCGTTGCGCGATAAGTGCTAAAATTGTTACAACACGTAATACCGATAGCGTACTATCGCGCATTATTTAAATGCAACGAACAGTTTTCCGGATATTTCGAACGGTGTATTATAACATTGCATTTTCAGTTTTTATAGGTCTAAACTTGCAGAAACAGGCAGATCCGACGTGAGATTATCGCAGGTCGATCCTAAGATCTGCAAAACAACATATTACAATATCATACATCAGCACCGGATTCGGTATGCACACGCATTAATTATGATATAACAGTATTACAAATAATGATGTACGCACACAGTTAACTGCAAATATTTGATTTATTATTACAATACGTCATTAGTAAAATTTATCTATATGATATATACACACATGTAGTTTCGTGAAACTTTTATTTGCAAATTATTTTCCATATTTCTCTATCGTGTCAAGTGTTACATATTTATCGAAGATAAATAAATCGCTGAGAATTTTTACATATTATATGTGTTTGGCTTGGGATTATAATAAAAAAGTATCTATAAAATTTAATTGTAGTAGAATTAATTATATATGGCAGTATAACAACTGTGAATGTTTTTTTTTTTTTCGATTTTACGCTCACACATAGACTCTATTTTATGTTGTTCTAAGAAATTTTAATTTATTACAAGTTCTAAGAAATAAATTGTCAATTTTCTTGCTAATAGTTCTTCTCAGCTGGTGGTCCCGCTAACTGCTGTCTGACACGTGTAACAATCTTATAATCTTTGTTTTCCGAACGTGACATTCAAAATGAAGATGGATCACAGCATTGTCGTCTTCGGTCCGAAAAAGAAAGTTTTTGTTGAAACGACCATATGGATGCAATACTAATTTTTTCGGCGTCTAAACTAAGCATTGTTATGTGCTCTTTTCATTTTAGACAAAAAAATTTCTAAGAAAATTTCTAATTCCCTAAAGATTCCCTAAGAAAGATTCCCTAAAGAATTTCCTAAGAGATTAATACGTATTTTAGTCAAAACTATAACTTTTTAGCTATTTTCCTTTATTATATTCCCTTTTAAACGAAGGTCCATCTCACATCTCTTCACAAAGCTTAGTTCTCGTTCGTCGCTTGGAAGAGCAACATCGTCTGTTAGCTAACTCTAAAGTAAAATATTTAAAAACAGAATCGCGTTTATTTTATCATTTATATTATTGTACATTATATCTCGTCATATAATAACATAAATTACTTTATTTTATCATACTTCTAAGCCAGATATTGCGTAAAGCAGTTACTTGGCATGTAGTACAGTAAAGAGAAAGTGAGTGCAAACCGCGTAATTAAGTTATAAGAATTTTATGAAAATTTCTTTCTGTGTGTAAACATTTTTTTCTGTATGTAAAAATAATAACATTAATTTAGTACATTGCGCAAAAAATATTGATCATAAATAAAATAAATAAGTAGTTATTATTTGTCAGTGCTTTTTTTAGTAAATATTAAATATTATTATAATTTTTATAAATATTATATACAATAATGTTTTTAATAACTCCATTAATTTAATTTCCTTTTTCCAAAAAATGCTAAATTGTTTCGTTTATAAATATGATTCTCAGCATTTTATTTATTAATTGATTAATTCACAATTAAGAATATTGTATTGTCATTGAATAAGACTTCGATGCAATTTAATTATTGGATTTCAGGTATGGTCGCTTTTCCGGACTCGACGACTGAGCCGACATTATTAAACGGCACAGGTCTCACGCCACATAATAACCAGAATGATAATCTAGCAGACGATGCTAACGCCGGAAGAGTCAAAGATCAGGCCTTCACTATACCCCGTGTTACAATGTCGGGCGGACAGGATAACTACACGCTGAAATTCGATAGTGTAGACAAGATCGACGAAAAAAAATTGCACACGGACAACATCAATACGGAGCCTGTCGTTGTGAAAAAAGTTGCCGGTAAGAAAAACCGTTAACCACAAGATTAATATAAATGAAAGCGAATGTATATAAGCACATGAGCACATCGATTCTTACACGGGATTATATTTACATAATCATACTAATTCCGAAAATCTCGCGTGTATCGAAGATGAGAAGCAACAAATGCTGACGACAAATTTACACAGTGAGCATATATAAAAGCGTGCGTGCATGCACTTGCATGTACGTTTGTGTGTTGAGATTAATGAAAAAAAAGTTTTATGTTTTACATTAACAACTGATTTAAATCAGTATTTCATCAGTATCGAGTGATTTCCATTCTCACGAATAAAGATAGACATCTCTGTGTGTCTATGACGCTTGAGATTGAATCTATTTGAATATAATTAAAAGTACAGTTGCAATTTCTATGCAAGCGTACACTTGAAATAAAATGGCTTATCGACTTATCAATTTGCGCTTAACGATCTTTCGCTTTGCTCTGCTTTCTGACGCTTTATCTTATTTACCTAATAATTATCACATTAACGATAGATGTAAAAAATTTTATTACAAAATAGTGCAACGGCGATACGCTATCAAAATGCATTACGATCCTCGACTGAAAGTAATAGCAATATACGGAAAACGCCATATACATACCACTAAAATGATAATATTGAGCCACGTGAAAACTTCATGCACATCACATGTATATCACTTATTTAACACACGAATTTTAGCGCTTTAAACAACTTTAAATAAATTTTTAATAAATAAATAAAAAAAAATAAATAAATAAATAAATAAAAAAACTTTAATAAATACACAAACTTTAAGTAATGTTGGCAAACGTGAAAGTACAATATATAGCGAAATGTAAAATATTTGAAAGAATTGGCAAATTCGAATAATGTAACTCAACGATGACACTATCGCGAGATTTGTCGCGTCGCTTTGAAACACAAAATTCCACAGTTATAAGAGCTGAGAGTCGGCCTTATTATATCTCAAGTCACGATATGACAAATCGTATAATAGAGAAACGGTCACACGGTGAATACAATAGCGGTAATAATGACGACACAAAGTGACTCTTCGATAATTTTACCCGCTCAGTGTCCCTCGACTATCGAGAATTCAAAGTATCATGAACTCGCGTCAATTTATGATGACGACACCGAGAAGAGACATGTTCAGTGATTATTTCCTATCGTTTACATGCCTTTGTGGAATCAACTTTGTTTACAATCACGACGATAATAACATGAGGCAGTTGAGAGGCGCTAGGAAAGCAATCACCAAATTGTTAGAAACATAATTAATTTTATTCTCTTAATTAGCATTAAATAGCATTTTAAAGCAATCAATTAAACAAGTTATAAAGATACTTAGCCACGATCTAAAAAAAAAATAATTAAACGTTAAATTTTAATAAATTACTCTGTTTTTTAATTTTTTTTTTTTTAATAATGCCATTAACTTCCAAATTTTGAAATCCAAACTTTCTATTTGTCTATGATTTGACGAGAAATTTATTTAACATGTACTAATGCATTTACAGCGGGCCTGAAGACAATTGGCGGCCAGAAAGATACGAAAAATATGTCCAACGGTAATGACGGAGGTGGGTCTCTATCCAGCGGAAGCTCTATAGTAACGATCACATCGGTTGCCGTCTCAGATCCCGATCCGGACTATCCTAATGGCTCAAATGAAAATAAGAAGGACATCAGAAACGAAAAATGGTATTACACGATTCTTCAAGTGTCGGTGCCCTTTTTCATCGCTGGTATGGGCACCATTGGTGCTGGTCGTGTCCTTACCTATGCGAAGGTAAGGCTTATAAAGCACATAAAAGCGCCGATAAAAGCACAAAATCACGAAAAAAATCACTAAATTCTCCTCTTGTTAATGAAATATTTATCCGAAGATAAAAGAACAGTCTATTCTTATCGAAGATGGCATCGAAATCGGTCTCATCTTCGTTTATCAGACCGAATGCATTTTATCGATTATAAAAGTAGAACGCGCTGTCGCTCTCTCACTTGTTTGTACGTACGTTTCAGAGAGAAATTTCAGACAGTCAGTACATTTATCTATATTTTGGTATTTTTAACTTATTTATTTAAAGGAGGTCAAGAAATCGGTTTACAATTAGTTGCGAGCGATATGACCGCATGTCTATTCTTATCGCGCGTTTTATATTAATCTTGAACCGTTTTTCTTTAAAATGAACGAACAATGACTTATTATCTTTCGTCAACATATATTACGATAAAAATTAGTTAATTATATACTGTGTATCTTGAACTTTCATCATTTTAATCACATTTTCTTTGTCCATTTTTCATGTTAAGATAAAGAACAATATTACAGAAGCATTATTCTCGAATAGCTCTTTATTTTTACATAGCAAAAAACGAGAGTATATATATATATATATATATATATATATATAAAGATTTTTTATCATAATATATATTATACATACTAGTTTCTAGAGTGCATTGAACAAGAAATTACGATCGACTTCAAAAACATTCACATAGCAATTTATTTGTTACTTTGCCGTAACAATTGAAATAATAATGAATTTATCTTTCATAAATTTGACTCATGTACTTAATCTCAACGTATTTAATTGCAGGACCAGGTAGCGTTCAAAGAAGTTCCTCAATTATTAATCCTGACTACGGCGCTGCAAGGTTTAAAGGGTAATCTCGATATGTGTTTGGCGTCGCGTTTGTGTACTCAGGCAAATTTAGGCAACATGACGAACCGGCGAGAAATTGTTAAGATGATCATTGGAAACATCGCCCTGGTGCAGATTCAGGCGATCGTCGCAGCCATTTGTCTATCGTTATTCGGCATGGGAGTAGGCACGCTCAATGGAAACCGCTTCGTCTGGGATGATGCGCTGCTGCTCGCGGTATCGTGCATATGCACGGCGACCAGTTCCTGCTTTATCTTAGGTAAACCATCCTCTCGCCGGCTTATTAAACATTGATTAATGAACGCAATTTACTCATTCTCATAAATCGACATTTGCGTGGAGTAATTATCCGCTTGCCGTTTATCAGCAATTGACATTAACAATAATTGCTATCGCGGTCTGCAGTTTTATCAAGCGTCGTGTTGTACTAACAGATATATGTACATCGCATTTTTCATGCATGTCGTCTGTCATATACTCGTAATAAAAAAAAAGTATTCTTTTTTTTTGTACCGTGAAATTTTTTGTCACCGTGGAAATTTTTTTCTCTTCTTCGCTTTACGAACATTTTCGATCTAGAAAAAATTACAATTAATTTCTTTGCTTGTGATAGTAAATTTGCAAATATTTGCTCATTTAAGGAATTTATTCACAATGAATACAATGAAGCTGGTGTTTAATTACGAATATAATATTATCTTTTCACATAAAATAGACAGTAAATACAACTTTACTAAGCAATTCGTTATATTTGTTGCATTTATAATTATAATATTATGCAATATCAAATATACAAATATTTTTCTCTCGGTTTTATTACTTTTTTTCGTTCTTTCTTGCTAATCTTTAAATTGTTAAATTTAAATGCAAATTTTTATGCTAATTCCTTTAATAAAAGCATATATCAACAATTCAAAATTTTTAAATTACCAACAAATAATTTTTTTTCTACAGATTTTGTTATGATAGCCGTAATTATGCTATCTTATCGGTACAAGATGAACCCAGACAATCTGGCGACTCCTTTAGCTGCATCTATCGGTGATGTCGTGTCCATCAGTTTACTTTCTTTTATTGCATCGAAATTTCACTTGAAATTAAACGATAGCATATGGGTATTATATGTTGTTTTCGCGGTCTTTTTGGTGCTCTTGCCAATTTGGACTCTGATAGTGCTGAAGAACAAATATACAAGAAGTGTATTGAAGTCTGGTTGGATTCCTATCCTGTCTGCTCTTCTAATCAGCGGGTTAGTGCAAAATGGCTTATGCATTTGTCTTTTGCGATTATATTATTAACCGTTTTAATTAGTTTCAATTAATTTTTGTTTGTTGTATCACTTAATTCTATCTTTTGGCTTTGTTTATATTTTTAATTTATTTGTCTATGTTGTTACTATGTTATCTTGTTAATTTAAGCCGTTTAGTTGTTAATGTATTGTGTATTATTTTCAGCGGAGGCGGATTAGTTCTTGAGAAAATGATCCATGAATATCCCGGATCTGAAGTTTTCCAACCAGTCATCAATGGAATTGGCGGCAATCTAGTGTCGGTGCAAGCATCTCGAATGTCAACTATGTTACATCAGTCCTCTATCATGGGAATTCTGCCGCTTCATGGCAAAATCTGGGTGTTGCCGTGGTCTGCGCTTTTTGCAGGATGTACGTAATTTTATAACAATTTTCTCTGATTTATTTTGAAAAATATTCTCTAAGAAATTACAAGATATACTTTCAAACATTTCTCTTCAAATTATCACTAATATAATTTTTGTATAAATTTTCTTCTCTTGTTTATACGTGTTTGTTTCTTTTATCTAAAATAATTAACACATTCCAATTGTATAATATTTCTTTAATAATACATTTTTAATGTAGGAATCAATGTGTTTAATATTTGATTATTTTTTTTTTTACAAACAGCACCGTATGCTAAGACCGCCAGATTGCTCATTGCTATGGTGATCCCTGGTCAATTGGTTTTTGTCTTTATCGCCAATGCCTTGAATCCAGACTTGTCTTGTAAAATACACGCGTATTTCGTAGTCTCTTACTTAATCGCTTCCATGTTTCAGGTAAGTTACACGATGTGTTTGTTGTTATTTTTCACTTTAAATAAAAACATAATCAAAGCAATTATAACAAAATTATTTTTTTAGGTGATGCTTCTGTTGTACGTCGCGCACATAATTATACACGCAATGTGGAGGTTCAAAATCGATCCTGACAACTCGGCTATACCTTACTTAACAGCACTAGGCGATCTCAGCGGATCATTACTGCTAGCATTGGCCTTCTTCTTCATACACTCAATATTTAGACCGTATTGCGTTTTACCATGAGTCTATGTAATATAAACATAGATTTGAGTTAAAATCAAGGTGGTTATTAAGGTGGTTACAGTGCAAACAGCTTTTAATGGTGGTTGATTTTGTCATGACGAGACGTTAGAATAAGTTAATCGAATATTTGCGTTGTCAAAATAATTAGAGTGCGCTGTTTCGTGGCGTTTATTCTAAGTGACTCGCGAAACTGAGTGAGAAATAACCGAACGACAGAATTCTCAGAAAAATAGGACAAGATGTCAATGAGAGAAATACTCAAATTATGAATATACCTTTACCATTAAAAATAATATAAACCCAGCAACACGCATGTTCTGAAATCTTCAAGATTTTAAATATCTTTTGAACGTCTTTCAGATGTCTTTAAGACATACATACGTGTTGTCTGAGAAAAAGAGAATATCAGCAGTTTACTTGTATAAAGAAATGATGCGTGTTATTTAGGCAAAATCTATTAGTCAAGATTAGTTCTATTTGTAAAAAGCACAATTTTTCATTTTATATCGCATGTTTATTCGCTGGCATGACTTTATGCAAACACCCAGGAAGAAATATAGGTCGAAGAAACGTCTATTAGATGTTTATAGACTTCTATTAGATGTCTATTAGACGTTTCTTCGACCTGTATTTCTCCCTGGATTAGCAAAAGACTAGTTAATTTAATAGCAAACAATACAAAAGTTCAAAGAATATATAAAAAAATGTCTCAAAAAGTTTCAAATTTTTCAACATTTAAACATTCAAACGTTGCCAAGACGCTTGAAAGGTAATTATAAATTTTTGAAACATTCTTGAGATGTTTTTTTTTGCGTTTTAGATCAATATTTTTAGACACTTACGTTGTCTTGACGAAAGATACGCGTCGCAACACTAGTAAGTAAGCAGGAAGCACGTTCGTGTTGCGACATGTTTTAATTTTAAGCGACATGACTTTAAACGACAGCGATCATAATTTACAAAAGCGTGGCCATGAACGAAGCCGTGAATAAACAATTGCCGCGTTGCCAAGAATCCGTATATCTTTAAAAGTCGCAGGATATTCGGCACGTTTATCCTACCGCGACAAATAAGACAAATAAGACATTATTTAATTGCGTAATAATATAATTGCAACGCAATTGTAGTTTGATTAAAACGTTGGCAGGATGTTTAAGCACGCAGCATTTTAATCGCGTATTATTAAAGCAAACACGGATTGTCGTTCTTCGTCGCTATCTTACGTGTACTATATTTAATTACGTAAAACAGTCATCAGGACACGCGTTACGTAACATGCTGCTCGGACAATGCCGAGTAATTAGTCTATCAATTATTTGTCTTCATACACGCGAGAAATACGCGTTTTGAATGTCCATTTGTAATATGTTGAGCGTCGTAGTAAAAATATTTCACATTGCCAAGTAAATATTTTGTCGAAATTATATTTAAATATTAGTAAATTTAGTAGTTGTATTAAATAATTTTCTTAATTTTTGTTACTTATTTTGGGAGTGTAGTGTAATATTAATGAATTTTGTGATACACAAAACGAAAATAATGCAACCGGCGTTCAACGTATTAAAATTTTGGTAAAAATTAATACTTGCCCAATTTTATACAATTTTTCAGAAACGGATTATTTTTATAGATATCTGTCAAGTACCTTTATATATTCGTGTTTGAAATATTTAAATATTTTTTATATGTATACATTTTAAGGAATCATATTTAGAACAATTTCAATTTTTATTGAACACTATATCCAATAAGTCAATAATATTTTCTCAACAATGTTAGTATCTCAGCATTATTCATAAATCAATATAAATCACGGATGTATCATTGTTATTTAATCTATTGTTTAGATAGATAAATAATGCAATTGTGCAAATAATATAAAATTGATAATTTTTTGATCAGAATTTATTGAGCATTACAGTATTTCTATTCTTCAAAAATGTAATTATTAATCAAATTACAATATCAATATTCTTATTCTATAATCAATGGTTTTTAAAAAATATAATATTTTTACTATTATTTTAAATAAACAAATTAAGTTTAAATAATACTATATTTAGTAAGTAATATTGTTTTAAAAGATTTATTTAGAAAAATTACAAAAATGTACTCCGTGTATTTTATAACGTATCATCTACCATATCATAAGAAATCACAACAATCTCATGAGTACAAAATACATTGTACATGAAGCTTTCAAATAACTGTTCAATTAGTTATTTTAAATAATGACTAAGCGATGTATATGTTTCAATTTTTCGATTTTTTAATTTGCAACATTTGAAAAATAAATACAGAAAAAGCCTGAATATACTTGTTTTTTATTTCTTTCTACTATTTTTATTACTTTTTAATATTTTATTATATTATTATTCCAAAAACTTTTTTACGCCATAAATCACCAATTTATTACGAATGAATAAGATGTTACAATTACTTTGTTCTATATAATTGCACTTTTTTATTGTTTCTCTTTGTTCTTTTTTTCTAATTTTTTTTTCAAATTTTTGAACACTTTATATATCTAACTCTATGGTTTGTATATCTATTTCCTATTTTTTTCAGTGTGAAAAGTTTAAAAAATGAACAGATCATTAAGATCCGCGGTCGCAATTTAATTTTTGTCTTGACGCGGGAATAATCACAAAATATCGAGATGATTGATCGTCGGTATTTATCATGGTTACAAATTGAACTAGTTTAATCTAGCTTGGATAATGATGGTACTCCACTAACTTTGTGTTATTGTTAGATGATTAATAAAATTCCTCATTTTCCGACAGCGAGAAAGCTTTTCAGTCGCACCACGTGGGGTCGTTGATATCGCAACAGCAGCTGAATATCGACGCGCATCGGACAGATAAACCTGTGCAAGTCGTAGTCGTTGTACCTGATCGTTGGCTGATCGTTGGTCCTATACTGTACGCAGTCTTGATACATATCGCGTTTTGACAAGTGCACCGAGTGATTTAATCCGCCATACAACGTTCTCGTCGCGACCTTGGCCTCTGACGTGTGCTTTTTCCGCCTAATCATCGCTTTGCTCGGGTTTGTTAGGTTCACGAGACAATTTTGCGTCGCCGATCATTGCATGTACACGGTGTCGCGATGCAGCGCGCGACAATTTATTAATCTACTGTGGATTCCGTCATGCGGTCATGAACGTCGGCGATTCTACCGAGCTTTGAGCCTGAACGAAATCGGCCTAAGCCTCGCCTAATCTCTTCGCCTAAGCTGATCATTATGCCCGCGCCGATCCGCGCGCGCCTGTTGCTATTCCGCTGTGCTACGAGTGATCCTGAGGCAAAAGGTAATGATAGCATTAGATTGACAATAAGCTCTTTCTCTCTCTCTCTCTCTCTCCCTCGTGGTTCCTAGCGTGCTTCCTCTTCCTTCTTTCTCGCTGCGAAGCATATATAGGCTTTATGTTTCATTTCCGAGTGCGGGGCGTATAAGAGAGTATAATCGCAAAGACAGATCCACAGACCGACGCGACTCGACTGGAAAACGAAGGGCGTAGTACCTATGACGAATCGTCCGATATGCACCTGCCACCCTTTTCTCGTTCACTGACACTCGATATTTTCTGTGCGAAACTCATCATGAAGTTCGTAAAAAGTAAAGTCAAACCACAAATTGCATGATTACTTTCTCATTAAATTATTGAACTATTGAAGAGATTGGAGGTACATGAATAATTTACTGCAATGTATATTTTGATGATTTTGCTCTTACAATTTTGATGATGATATAATGAATATATTTATGTTAACTACTTTTTTTATTCACTTGTAACATTTGAAATGAAATGGACATTTATAATCAAGCACTTTATATTCTAAAGAAATTAATTAAACGCTGAAAATACTAAAAACCTATTTGTAACTTTATATTTCTTTGTTGTTTGTTATTTCACTTATTTGTCATTTGTTTGTATGTTGCGGAAAGTTGTTTATTCATTGGTAGTTCTCTAAACTATAAGTTGTTTATATTAGTAGTCTTCTAAATTGTTTTCATTTACAAAATCGATCTGAACTTTAACGAATTACCACGCATTTAGCAGCAAAAATGTCACTAAAAGAAATACCAATTAAAGTTTCACAATTGAAAGATTCGATAAGAAAATAAAAAAAGAGTCTTAATTAGTAACTATTGTATTTTAAATAAAAACCTTACTTATAAAATCGATTTTATAAGTACATTGTAAATATATTTTATTCTTGCACTGAATTATGTAATTTCTCGAGATAGAACTTTGATAAATAATTTATGGTTTAAATAATTTATCCAAATTGTACATGAAGTGAATAATTTCCTCATATACTTAACGTATTATGCTTTACAACGTTCCCCATTTCATCGAAACAATTTTGCGCCTTAGGCTAGTGCGCTGTTATAAATAAATTTAGATAAGTCGCCACTTCTAGTCGGTCTAGAAACGGGATGCAAAGTGTAAAATGGAAAGTCACATTTGAGATCGTTTTAAAGCAAATCTCGGCTTGTTAACCGCTTAAGAATAGTCATATGTATTCGCTGTGCAAGTGTGACATCGATGTCCTGATATAGATACACATGATAACTGTATTTACACCATATATGTAACCACAGTACAGAACGACAAATTTATAACACTAAGTGCGCAACATTTATCAACAAATAAAGCAAAACATTTCATGCTAAATAAATTTGTAAAAATATATTAATTACAAAAGGCAATGCACAATAAGAATGTAACTAATATTTTTAATGTAAAAGAATTAATCTTGAAATTGAAGTGCAATAAAATTTAGATTAATTAATTTTTTTTATTTAATTAAATTTACATATTAATACATTTTTAAAATATAATTGACATTTTACAGCTGAACGAGCTTGTATATGCAACATAACAAATTTATTTATTTTTCTTTCAATCTTGTCACAAATTTTAAATTTGTCACATAAATTTTTCTTCCGGTACATGCTCGAATTGTTTTATGCGGTTTACAAAGGGATCTCTGAGAATTTATTCTCTCGCATCGCGGAAAATTAAGATCTCTCACGCTTTTACGATAGAGACACGCGAGATCAGACTCGTCGTATGTTTACGCATGTTCGCAGGCACGCACGGTGCCTGCATGCATTCAGTTCGGAGCACGCCGAGTGTCAATTAGCGATGCCGGCGCGGGTGTTCTCGACCGCGCGTTGGAACGGACCGACACGTTAATTTTAGCGTAATGGATCGATCTAAGAGGAGGAGGATGTGTTTTTAAATAGCCCCCCGGCGAGATCTATCAGGCGCTTATTTCGGAGGTACCGATAGGAAATTTCCCATATTTTTTTCTCTCTCTCTTCCGTTCACTTTCATGTTGTCTGGATCGTGAATCCATCAAATAAACGTATCCTGTAACATTTTGCGCTGGAAATACGGTGTTAAAATAAAAATGAGATTTATAGTCTCTGTAATACGGTATAAACGTGGATTAATATGGCGTAATTTATCGTCATCAAGCAGATTTCAATTTTGTGTTCACTTGAGTGAACGTAATGAGTCAGCATTGCGATAACAATATGAATAATAGACACGTGAACAATATTTCTTTCTTTCTTTGTGTTTATTATCAATAGAAAATTAAAAAATAACAAGCACTATTAGAATATCTCTGATTTATGATTTATTTGCAATGATATACCAGTAAAGTGTATAATAAAAACTAAATATATTTGTCATTAATATTAAATTGTACAAATAGCCGTATTAAAACGCTATATTAATTAATATTAATTAGATCGTCAAATTGCCGTATTAAAACGTTATATTTTTGACAAAATAAAGTTTATTTAATCAAAATGTACACGATTGGCATTAGTACTTATTTTCAACTAATATTAAATAATATATTCCATTTTTTTAAGTTTGGTGTTTTAGATTGCATAGATTGTTTAAATCCTGCTACTGCTTCTGGATTGGAGAATGTTTTATTTCTTTTAATTATCGAATAGCTTTTTCACTGACAGAAATCTTTCTAAAGATCGAACTAACATTTTTATCTCACAGTCAGCTATGTTTTGCGCTATCCTAATTAAAATTTACATAAAGATTTGCATTTTTTTGTAAATACTGTTTATCTCTGTATTTTATGGATATTTATCTTCGTGGAAAAAATTAAGAATAATAAAAATAACTCACTTATCAAAGAAAATTGAACAGCACGATACTTTTATAAATTATTAACAATCAGAAATATATTTTATCAACTTTACGAATTATCAATTATCAACTGATTGATATCGGCAATTTCATGTATTTTAATTTAATATATTTGTTATTTTATGTTTAATTTTGTGCATTGTATGTGTATTGTGCATGATACACTGTACGTTCTCGTTGTGCATAATTTGTTTGTGCCTTAATTGTCCCTATAATGATAATTGACTGTAATTCACATTGCCGTAGAATGCAACGAAGTCAGTTGAGGGATATTTCATCCTGGATGACGCGCCTATTCCCGGAGCCTGGGGACGGAAATAATCGGATGATCGACGGATTTAAAATGTTTGGTTCGAAAAACAGTTCACCCACTAGCACGTTTTACACCGATCTGGATATCACGGAGGACAAGCAGGAGTTCCAGCAGACAGACGAACATTCCAAAGCGCCACGTTTATCAGAGCAACAGAGCGCAACTAGCGAAAATGAAAACTCACAAGATTCGGACACGGCAACAGGTGCTGAGGAGCAACAATATGTTAGACATTCCTTCCATAGAATCGCCAGTTTTGGCGGCTTCCCACGATTTCAGCCATTCGTTATGTCCGCTTCCACGCCTGCCGAGTGCATCGATATCATGAGGCATGAAGAAACTTCAACAGAAACGTCCTACATTAAAATGTCACATAGCGTCCTAGAATATAGAAGCAGCAGGTGAGTACAGGTTTAACAGAAGAATAAATATACTTTGTATATTTTTTATCGCGGAATATTTTTTAAAAACATATTTTAAAACACACAGCTACGTAGCCTCAGAGAGAAGGTCTCATCAGTATACATTAGATACGTACGCGGTAAGCGAATCCGAAAGTGAAGAAGAATCAGAAGAAACGAGATCTTCAGAAACAGACTCTGCCATTGTGGCGGATCACACTGACGAATCGATTTCGGAGTCCAAACAGATAGTAAAGAAAAGTTCCTCTGACTCGAAGAGGAAAAAGGCGTTACATGTAGCGCGGGAGTTACTAGCGACTGAGAAGAATTATGTAAACATTTTGCATCTGATCGATCAAGTATTTCAATTCAGGGTCGATCAGGAAAATAGAGCACATCCAATGTTCCCTCCAGAGACTGTTCAGCACATGTTCTCAAATATTAAATCTATCTACAAATTTCACAACGACTTTCTATTACCGCAACTCGAGGAAAGAATGCAATGCTGGGATTCAAATCCAAAAATCGGTGATATAATGAAGAACTTTGCGCCGTTCCTCAAGATGTACACGGAATATGTGAAAAACTTCGATTACGCTATGAACCTGATAAACACACTGCAAAACAAGGTTCCCAGATTTGCAGCAATTATTAACGAAATTCAGAAGCTCGATGAATGCGCTAAATTGTCGCTAGCTCATCACATGTTGAGTCCAATACAAAGGCTACCGCGATACGAATTGCTTCTCAAAGATTACTTACGAAATCTCACAGAAGACAATCCGGATTACGAAGATACTCAAAGTAAGCAAATTAATACATTTTTTATATATAAAAATTGCATATTTTATATATACTTACATGATTTATTATTACAATATACTAAATGAGAAATCTTTTGTGTATTAAATTTTAGAGGCTCTAGAATTAGTTTCCATCGCTGCAAATCATACAAATGAAGCAATGAAGAAAATTGATAAATTTAAGAAACTGTTGGAAATCCAAGAGAGTATATACGATGCAACTGATCTAGTCAGTGCAACACGCGAATTAGTAAAAGAAGGACGTATAGTGAAAATCTCAGCGCGTAGTGGTGATCATCAGGAGAGGCATTTGTTTTTGGTAACTATTAATATCGTTATATAATAACCCATAGCATGCATATTCGGGAGACGTTCCGAAGATATCGTATCTCTCAAAGATATCTTTGGAATGCTTTGAATATATATATATATATGTGTGTGTGTGTGTACATACGTACATACGTACATACGTACATACATACATACATACATTACTCTTAATATATTAAAATCTTATATTTTAAACCAAAAAAATGATCTAGAGTGTTAAACTATACATTTTATTTTTATTTTAGAATTTTATATCATGTTAAAATGTACATTTTATTCATTTTTATGCTTTAGAATTTGGTAGGTCTAGAACTGCATTAAAATCTTATATAAATACATATAAATTAAATTACAGTACATTTCTACATTCTAGACATTAGAATGATAAAAATGTAGATTCTAAAATTTTAACCTACTAAATGTTATAAGATTTTGTTCATTTTATTAATTTTTATGGTTTAGAATCTTATATCAATATGATATAAAATACTAAAGCATAGAAATAGATAGAATGTTTATTTTAAGATTCTAGACCATTTCTTTGTTTAAAACGTAAGATTTCAATGTATCGCAGTAAAGAAAATGTACATATTAAAATTCTAACCTATCAAATATTATAATATAAGATTTTATTCATTTTATTCATTTTTATTGCTTAGAATCTTATATCATATCGATATGATATAAGATTCTAAGGCACTGAAATGAATAAAATGTTTATTTTAACATTCTAGACCATTTTTTAATTTAAAACATATTCAATGCATCGCAGTAAAGTTCTAGACCTATCAAATGATATGATGCAAAATTCTAAAGCATAAAAATGAATAAAATGTACATTTTATTTATTAGATTTTATTTATTTATAAGGCTAAATTGCGCGTGTGTAGCACTCGCAATGTTCTAGTATTTGTAAAATATATGCAATACTCAATTGTGTATAACTATTTTTTTTTTCAGTTTAGTGATTTATTATTACTCTGCTCAATAAGACTGATACCCGGTCCTATGTATCGACTAAGAGCCAAATTTATGGTAGAAAATTTACAAGTAGTTGAAGGTGATAACCTGGAAACGGCGAATACTTTTTACATAAGGGATGAAAATAAAAGCGTCGAATTGTATACACACGCCGCCGCGGAGAAAGCAGCATGGTTAGACGCACTGTTTCAAACGATGCAAGAGATTATGAGACGTAAAGCTAGCCTGAAAACCGGCAACGTTAAGACTTCCTTGGTTAAGGCTGATGATGTAACTAGATGCATGGTTTGCGAAGTTATTTTTTCTGTGATGAAACGAAAACACAATTGCCGGGCTTGTGGAATAGTAAGTATTACGTTAAAATTGATTTCTTACTATGAATTATCTCACATTCGTTATCATTACAAATTATGTTAATACTGTGTTCTATTTTGCTGTAGGTGGTTTGTAGTAAATGCTCAAATCAGAAATTATTATTTGAAGACAATAAAAATATGAGAGTGTGCAGATTATGTCACGCCGCGCTCACTCAGCCACTGACCAAGTCACCGTCATCACCCTCTGGACCAGTGCCAAGCTTACTGCAAGTATCAGCGAGTGCGTCATCAGTATTATCCGGATATCTGCTACTAAAAACGCAGGCCAGTAAACCTTGGACAAGACGATGGTTTGCGTTGCATGGCGACTTCGTTCTATATTCCTTCAAATCGGAGTCTGAGAGCATGGCAATGACAGCGACACCCATGCCGGGCTTTATGGTTACCGAAGGTACAAAATTACCCGATGAAGACCCCCTAAACATGAAAGATCGGACAAGAGCGTTCAAGATGCATCATTCTAGAAAATATTACTATCTCCAAGCATCTTCTCAAAAGGACAAAGAAAAGTACGTGTAGAAATTAGGTCTTTATATAATCTGGCTTGTAATTTTTTAGAAATGAGGAAATAATACTATGCAATATTTATGGGACTTTCAGGTGGATGCACGCGTTGGAGTTGGCTACAAAAGCTGAACTACCTCATTTTACGCAGGCGGAAAATGAAAACGCACAAGAAAGTCAATCGATGAACGATGTACAATGAATATTCGTACCTTTTTATCTACCAAACTAGCCAATTTTATACTATCATATTAGAAGTGAATGACAAGACAACACAATGTAAGATAATCGTTAGTAGTTAATTAGCTATATTTAAAATGATGTTAACTTATGTTATATATATATATTGTTATTAGTGTATACTATACAAAAGAGAAATCGAGTCAATAGCAGTTGCTGCCGAAACGCTTGTTGTTTTGTATAATGTTCTGTTATAGTATATTTATAAATATATATGTCGTTCGATCACGATGCGCTGTGCTGACCCGTAATTTGCAATAGAGATCGATACGTCGCAATGCTTGAGAAATTAATTACTCGCTTCAGTCATAGTATATTATTTAAACTAGGAAAAAGTCAATTTTATTAAGTGCGCACGATGAATGAATAATTTTATTAATAAATTTATTTCATCATAGTTGAAATTCTAATTTTTTTTTAAACACTTCTAAATAGTTTCTACCTAATTATAAATATTTGAAAAATTACAATTGTTATCTCGTTCATTACACATATGTTCGCTCAACAATGCATTTGGGCATTGATTATGCGCCTTTCTCACGTTTTTTTAATTGCACATACAAACCGTCAGCTGCGTACGTGAACACATGAATGATACCCTTGTCATCCTTTTTACTTGGTTCATAATCGAGAATATAATTCGAAAGGATTGTGATTAACGCCACTTTTGCAATTAACAGGCCCAATCTTTGTCCTGAAAATTTAAGATAAATTATTGTACAAATTATATCTATTTGACATTTGTGTATGTAAAAAGGAAAGGAGAAGATTACGACATATCTTTTTCGTGTGATAAAATTTTGTAACTTACCTATACACGATCGTTGTCCTAGGCCGAATGCCAAAGATTCGTAAAACTTTTTGTTACCTGTTTCTGCTCTCAATGGAATAAAATCATGCGGATTGGAAAAATATTTAGGATCTTGATTCGTCGCATTTATAGAAATATATACTGGAATATCTTTCTCAATTATTAACCCGGTGCTTAACAACTGGAAGTGAGAAATATATGTGAGAATATATGTAATAGTCAAAGAAGTGATGGCGTAATGATCTGTTTTCAGTTATTTATAAGATTATATTAATTACCTTGTAGTTCCTTGTGGCTATTCTATCAACGATGGGAAGAGGAGGGTGTAATCTCAGTGTTTCGATCAAAACAGAATCCAAGAAAGACATTTCTGTAATCAGATCCATGGTCAATTCTTTTCCTGATATATGCGTTTGTATCTCATCATATAAAGTAGCTTGAAGTTCTGGATGACGTGCTAAATTATACAAAGCGAATGCGATTGCGTCCGCAGTTGCTTCAATTCCAGCTATGAGCAAACTGGCAGATTGCGCCAGTAAATGGTCGCCTTCAAACTCTAAAACCAAATTATTAATGCAACAGAATAATAAAATTAACATTTTAATAAGTCTTTCTCTCTTAATAATTTTATAAACTTGATGCATACAGAAAAATTATGTTAATAACAATATCATTATGTTATATATATATAATACAATGCATAATAATTATTATTGCGCAAATTATTTTGCAAGTCACATAATCTTTACTGTAAATGGGATCCTGTTCTTCATTCTTCAGCGTCAACAAGAAGTCAATAAAATCTCCTCTCTTATATCCACTTTTTTCTCTGCTATTCATAGAATCCCAGAAAATTTTGCGAAAATAATTCGTATATATTTTAATAGTTGGTCCAAATAGAGGAATCCATTCAGGAATAAAGAAAATCATAATCATTATCATGCTGCGCATGAAACCATAGAAGATGTTTAAACCTGCAAATTTAAGTATAACGAAAGTTTAATCTTTCTCTAAGAATGAAAAAGTAACAATCGCAAAAGCAAAAATCGACAAAATACTTAAAAATATTTTTCTTTTCGACGTTTTTCAGTATCTGCGCTTCTATTATGTTGTTATTTTAATACTTTTTCCGCTTTTATTTTTTTACCCAATAAATTGTCATTGATTTCATTCATGCAGGAGACATATCGTGATACATGAGAAAAATGTCGTCAACTATTTGCAACTCCGCGCAGAATAAAAGCAGCACAAAACTTACTGTTTTTCCAGAAAGCATCTTTCTTCTCGTCGAATGAAGTTGCATTGATGCCAAATATTACAGAAGCAATAATATCGGTGACATAACGACCACTGAGCTCTTTCACCTCGGTTTTATTCGAGCTAGACATTGACAAGTTCTTCATGAAATTCAACATAGGCTGCCCACACTCGATTATCAGCGGAAACATATTCTTTAATCTCTGTCCGCTCAAGGCTACGGTCAACTTGTTCCTCAAGTATTTCCATCGGGGCTGTTGGATAGACAAGATACTGTCCAAACCCAACGCATCCCTCTGGTTAGCTGAACCGAATCGCCGATTCGGGAAGACGTCAAAATCTTTGATGAATATTTGTTTCATTACATCGTGATTTCGTAATAGCAGCATGGGCTTATGGAAGATGTAGAAGCCGATATAGGGATCGTCCGGATCGGCGTAATTGTAAATCTCACGCAACACCTCACTAGGCGGTTTCTTCAGCGTGAGACTGTCCCCGAAATTGCCAAAAATTAGATGCGTTGGAGGAGTCTTGACTCCGCGTCTGCTCCAGTAAGACAGCTTGTACTTGGCGTACGCGTAAAAGAGACTGATACATATTACCAATGCTGTCGAGCAGTAGATGAAAATATCCACAATTGATAGATTCATGCCGTGATGTCTGTATCGATCTACGTATTTCCTCGATCTTCTTTTATCACGCAATTCGGAACTTGATCTGTGGAATAATAATTATTAGCTATAAGTACATTGAGCTTTGGATAATATACTGGAGTGAGCCTTGAAGGAGTGGGGATGGACCACTGTAAAAAGAGAAAATTTAACATTGCGGGTATCTGTCTCATCCCCACCAATACACAGTGTAAATGTGGAAGGAGTACAGACATCCACCGGCTACTATTGCTCTCCTTGACCCGAAAATTACATATCGACTCTTATAGGAAGACTCTCTACAGTATGTTATAGAACTCAATGTATAATAAATATTAATTTAAGACATTAAATTAAATAAAAACATATATTACGTAATTAAATAAAAATTAATTCAAAAAATATTTGAATAATTCAAAAATTTAATGCGTATATAATATGCTCGAAAAATCGAGAAATAATTAAAGCTTGCTTTCTTTCCAGTTTATCATATGAATATATTTCGCAATTTAATTCGCAAAGATAAAATATTTATAATTAATTAGAATCCGGATTAAACCAAAATTTAAACCGATAACCGTTTGTTTTTTATCAAACAGAAACTAACTGAACCAAAATTTCATAAAGTTTATAATACGAGAAATATAACCGGATCGGTTAAATTATACTAGTTTACAGCCAAAAATTATTTTTAATCAAACATGGTGTTTCTTATGAATTTTTAGATGCTGAAAACGATGCCGCAAACCAAATTTCACCAGCACGTCAGGTTTTCAAAATAATTGAGGTTTAATGTGTAAAAAATGGGTTTTTTGCGATATTTGATATTTTTTTTTAAGAAAGATTAACGTTATCTTTAAATTCTGATCAGAAATCATGAATGTATTGTTAATCCTTTATAAAATGCATTTTTTTTTATTTTGATACCTTACGACGTTAATTAGTTAATCTTTCTTACAAAAAAAAAAGCAAACAACGCAAAAAAACCTATTTTTTACATTAATTTTTTATATTAAACCTTAATTATTTTGGAAACCTGACGTGCTGGTAAAATTTGGTTTGCGGCATCGTTTTCAGCATCCAAAAATCTATAAAGAAATATCTTGTCTGATTCAAAATAATTAAAAAACATTTTTTTTTTGTAGACTAGTATTATTTTCGGTTTACGGTTTTTTTCGATTCCTACTGTATACTTTATTACTTTATTACTTTTTAAAATAGTATAAAAAGCTTTTATTCAGAAATAATATGATGTCGGTCCGAATCCTTGATAAAAAAAAAAAAAATTGTTTATTACTAAACATATTGCAAAATTACGTCAATTATATAAAATTATTATAAAATATAAAATAATTAACTTATAAAATTATTATAATTAAAAACAGATGAAAATTAATTCTCTTACCTTTTACACGTTTTATTATTAAAAAGAATAAGAAAAACGTCACTTAACACAGCTAAATAGCTCGCCTGCTAAAACTTGACTGCTTGTTAATCCAATTTTTTTTATCTTGTCTTCGTGTTTAATCACAAGAATATGGTGCTAACGAGCAATTAAATCAAGGTCATGCGATCACTAATTGCGATTACGTCAGATATTACGTCGGCAATCTCTAACAATTTTCTCAAAATATTGCTGATTTGCAGCGCATTTTAGATATATTATCAAAGATAGATTACGAAATATATTTATATCTTCACCTTGCTGATAAAATGCTATTTGGTTCGTATTCGTGCATCTGCAATTTATAGAAATGCAGCCTGTATGCGAATCTAATTTTTTCACATGCGTAATTTTATTTTTATTTGAATAATTATATATGTGTATATACATATACACGTAAATTACACAGAGTGAAATACGTAACCAGAACCATTTTAATAATACCATAAATATTAATTTTAGCAAAAATTGATTCAGATAAATTGTATAATTAAAATATCGAGACTACGTAATGCAGTATTTAAATTATTTTTATCACTTGTAATTTCCAAAATTTTACGATTCCTTTTAGCTTTTTAATGGAAATCAATTTCTGTTCTATAATAAAAGTTGTAGATAATATTATTGTAAAACAAATTCAACGAATATGACGTTTAGACAAATAATAAACGGTTTTCAGACTTTTTATCCAATTTATTAACTTTTACATATAAGTAATATGACTTGATGGTTACTGCAAATACTTTTTATTATTTTTTTATTTTACAGAAAATGTTCAAAGTGTCGTCCTTGAATTTCTAAAACTAATAATAATTTTTTCTATTTTTTTTCTTAAATGCAGTCTCAAGGACAAAAAGCAGTTACGAGGTTGCCGCATAATTTGAAGGAAAGAGGTTGTTTCTGAAGACTTTTACGGAGACAGGTATATCGCAATTATCCGGGATTTTGACGGCCACGAAAAATGGAAAGAGATAAATCGGAGAAGCTGAGATCAGAGAATTGGGTTTTAGCCGTGTCAAATCAAGTCTTCTATTACTTTAAAAGAAATGATTTATTTTTATCATTATTTTTCTGGACTTTATACTTATAATGTATATTACATATATTACATATATATTACATATATTACATATAAATTACATATATTACATATATTACATATACTCTTTTTATATATATTAATCTTATTGTTTACGATTATTAATATTAATTCTCTTCCACAAACATAAACACAAACACACCCACACTAGACATATTTAATAGTTAAGAATAATTAATATATGTACTATATATAATACTTAATAATTTTTCTATGTCTTAAATATTGTTAAGTGTCAATGAACTCTTTTTTATTTTAATACCTTTATCTTCGTTTCTAGTCCCTTAAAACAGCACACAATATGGTTCCGGCCTTAGTGATAAGAATTAAGTTTCTTTATCGAAAAAGGGACCGTCATATAGGCATCTGATGTAAACAGAGTAATAAGAAATGAATTCTTCTAATCGTTGATTTGTTTTCAGGCAAAACAGCTGCCCGTTCGACTGGCAAGTCAGGCAGTTAGATTACTGATCTATAAGAAAACATCTATTGCAATTCTTCAGATCCTTCTCGGTGAATCAACACATTGGTATAACATCCGCGCGCGCGTACACACACACACACACATGGTATAACACACGCGCGCGCGCGCGCGCACGCACACACACACACACACATCAATTTATAAATGTCTTTATGTTAAATAAGTAATGTTAAAAGTAACACCATATAGATATATAAAATGGTCGGTGAATTTGAAAAGGACATGGACGTGTTGACGCGCCCAATTCGACCATTGCCGCAGAACAACGTGTCCTGGTCGACGGTTGTAGTTGGCGGAGCCAAGGTGGATGATGTAGAAGCGGTAGTACTGTCGACCGTCTGTAAAACCGGCGCATCTAGAAAAAGAAACGATTATTCATTTAGACGAAAACTGAATTAACTCATTAATAACAGAAATGAATTTGGTGTTCTCTATTTTCGCAATGTCAAAAGTTGAAAGCACTTGAATTTTGATGTGTCAATCAAAGACAAATTTTATACTCACATATCCATAATAGAATTTTGATAATAATAATGATAATAATCGCTAATTTTGAAACAAATGCGGTTCATGTAGCGGTTCATGTCGAACCTACCAGTAGAAGCAGATTTTGGAGGATCGCAATGAGGTGCTGTTGGAAAATCGTTGATCCTGTCATGTTTCCACGCCTCTGTACAATTGTCGCAGAGACCCGCTTTTGGATCGTCCTCGACACATGAATAGTAACAGCACTCACCGGGACTGGCAATGATCGACTTTCTAGCCTGTTCACCGGTCTCTGGGATCTCCGGATCTGAAATCATTATATTTTTCAGTGACACATACGGATGGATGCAAACTGTTTGTTGCTCTTCTTTCAAAAAAATTTTATTAAAGTATAAAATACCATTAATAAGTTTTTGGAAAACATGCATTTTCATGAATTATCATATTTAATTTTTGGTCATTTGGAAAGATAAATTTTATGTATGTGAAATGCGAACTATGAAAATTTGTTCATTTTGTCGCATAACATTGCATAAAAATACAGCAAAGTAGTTCAGCGCAATTTTGTGAAGAGTTCGATAAACAATAATTTCTATATGTGCGCGTATTTATTATTATTTCCAATGATACCGCTAAGAGAGTTTGTATCTAATTGATTACAGATAAAGATTTTTTAACACAATTGCAATTTTACAAATTTTTAATTAATTTAAAAATTAATAAGTCAATTAATTTCAAATTGTTTTTTAAAAAATGACTTCGCAACCAATTAACAATCGTATCAAACGTTACAAATCATTAGCAGTACGCCAATTTAGCTATTATATCTGTTGATTTAAATTTCTATATATTATTACAAATAATACAAAATATTTGATAAATAAAATTTTATTCTCTATCTTATTATATTTTGTATTTTTACAATTCTTTTATACGTGTATTTTTTTGATATTTTATTTTTTGTCTCATAACGATACGTATACGTAGAATATTATTTTAAAATTTTGTTTTCACATTTTATTCGTAAATTTATTGAAAAAGATTCAGATAAACAACGAGAAAAATAAATGTTTCTGCCCATCATTACAGAAAAACAATAATGAATGCTGTTGAATTAAAATCAGAATGATATCAAAGGGATCTTGTAGAGTCAATGCACATATTAAAAAATAAAAAAAAAACATAAAAATTTTGATGTTTTTTTATAATACTATAAAATAAAAGCTATTACGAGCCGAGCCAGGTGGTAATTGCTCCTTTTCATTTATTAATAATATTGTATTTACACAAACGTTTCGACCATTCGGAATATTGTCATCTTCAGTGTGTTACATTACAATTATTTGATCGTCGCAATTGTTTACAGATTTAATTTAAAATTTATAATATTCTAGTTTTTCTATTGAAATCTATTGTGTGCTTTATTTCCGTTATTGTATTTGATTCTTTTCCATTAAATTCATCGGTCCATCTTTTTATAAATTGAGCGTCACCGTGTGATTTCTTAAAATTAATTACATCAATTAGGAAGATCGAAAAAATAACATATAGAAAAAAAAGAAGAGACAAAGATCTGGGAAACCAACATACCTCCATAAATTTGTCATCTATGATATTTTCTGATAGACCAGTATATGATATGGAGAATGAATTCTTGTCAACTTGATAAAATGTACGTTAAAGTATAAAAGAGTGACTTGTGACTTTCAATGTGGATCTAAGTGTTATCACTCTTTTTTTTATGATCGGGTTTTTTTTTGCTTACCTCCACAAAGAAAAGTGGGTTCACCAGCGTACTGCGTGGAGAGTCCAGGAGCGCGATCGGTCGGAAGTAAATAAGGACAACGTTGCTCCACAGCGTAGCAGACAGATCGACAAGGCCTCAGTCTGCTAGCAGTCCAATTGTCTTTTGGAGTTGTTGCTTGCTCGTTTGTTTCTTTATAAACAAAGTGAGGCACAAGAGAGCTGCACATCCATTTCCTATATGCTTCCTGCAATCAGTAACATTATGTCCCATCAATCAATCAATTTTTCTACGGCTCAATGTACACGTTTTAATTGTTTATTAAAGAAACGCATGAAAAAAAGAGAATCAATTAAATAATTATGACCTAATAAATATATATTTTTATTTTTGTAAAAACATTTTTAATTTTATACAAATTTTATACAAATCTTTTACACATAATATATATATATATAATATTGTATTAATAAATATTTATTTTATTTAAAATAAAATTAAAATTTTCGTCTGTTTTTATAAAAGTCTTCCATGTATGATGTGAAATTCTATGGATGCTGAATTATTAGCTAAACAAATATAAAACGGTATAAAATTATATAAAACAGCGATTTATATATAATTACAAAAGTAAACTTTTAAAAAGTTTTATATATTATGTATGAGAAAGAGAAAAAAATGTTTCTAAAGAACTTTTTTGCGTTTAGCTTTTTGCTGTCATTCAGGATGTAATGAGTGCAACCGAAAGCTATGATATTACAAAGCATTGAATAAGGAAGCGGAAAATGAGTAAACTAACGATAAAGTTACTACTTCTGTCAGATATTCAATTAATTTATTGCCCTGTTAACACGAAACTTGTGCTATATGTGACATACACTTCTGCAGCTGACTGGAAGCTCGATAAAGCCACCCCAGTCGTTAAGAAAACAATTACCCGGAAGACATCAGCTGGCAAGTGTCATTTTTGTGTACACAAAAGAAAATGGACGCGCGAGACAAAGAGGCTGAGAAAAAACGTGTGATCTACACTTCGCTGGCTTTTATCGCGCTCTAATGCGTACATCAAAAATTTTTATGTCTACAGAACAAACGGTTCAAATCTGAGGAAACGATTCATTTCGATAATCGAGATTCTTATCTGATTACTACAATTGTAGTAAATTTGTGAATCTTTCTTTTGTAAATTTGCAGTATTTTTTTATGTAAGTGTGATTAAAGAAATTATGATTAAATTGTTTTTATGTTTTTAAGCACGAATGCGATACGAGACCGACGGCGTTAAAATCCCTGGCGTCGTTTCCGGTAAGACCGTATAATTACATTATCTATATTTTCGACTGTATAATAGACTTCAGTGGGGGGAAATTCCGGTTTTCACGTCTTGACAAGGTATTATATCGATTATTGGATATTGCGAACCAACTAGTCAACCGAACGCTGAGCTCATTTTGATCGTATCACACCGATCTTAGAAACTTAACCCTTTACAGTTTGCCGTGTCTTGCACTTATAACTGAACTTAATAACTCACACTCACAAACAGCTTTACTAAGCTGCACTATACTTTTACAAAATAATTACATTTTATGCAGGCGCCGCGGAACCAGGGGGGGGGGGCAGAGGGGGCGACCGCCCACCCAGAGATAACTCAGGGAGGGCTACGCCCCTCTGAATTTTTCTGTTTTCTTCAGATATTTCATGACCAAAAATATTAATCATCAAATATTTACATCAAAGGTGGAAAATGGGTTATTTTTCTTTTCTTTTTCCTCTTTTTTTTAACTATTTACTCGTTCAATTAAAGTACACTATATAACAAAGAAAATTCGCATTAAGTTAATTAGAACAAAAAATCTATGCATATTTTTCGTACATTTATACTACCCATTGAGTGGCCTATTATATGGTGTTCGAATGGAGTTACATACATATACATATACATATTATAAATGTATTATGTATCCCCTTTATAAATTTTGCCCCCTTAGATGAAAAATACTTCCACGTTGCCTGATTTTATGTACTTCGTATCGCACGGAATTAAATACGAATGATTTTTTATTTTATCGTACGTCATGTATCATTAGAGTAATAAAAGAAGACATTATTCAAAATTGCAAAAGACAATTTATTTCATTGAAAAAGAAAACAAGCGGATTAAAAATCAGAATGTTAACCGGCATAAAATAAGATGTAAGATAAGTCGTGACAAGTCGTAATTGGTCAATATTTTTAAATAAAATTTTTGTAAATTATAAAATTGGGCTTGGAATGCTTAGAATTCTATTGAAACTTTATCAACGTTGATACACATCGGAAAAAGTGTGACTAAATACGTATTACAGATTAACTTACTTGAATTTAGGAGCGCTTAGAATGGAGCACGGCGCGCAAATAGTTAAGCAAATCCACGACCGACAATTAGTCTGAATACGCGATTGAAATTTTGATGCCATTGCGGACAGCTTGAAGCAATTGCTACAGTCTTCGAATTCGGTCAATCGATCGTAGTATTGTTATTATTCCCATAGGATAGCAATTGCCCCCGATATTCTTGTGGAATTCCACACAGAGAAAGAAGTTACTCCTTGCGTCGAACAAATTTTTCACAAGATATCTTTGATACGATTCAAAAACGATAGTTCCTAATTTTTATTGCAGCACGCGTTTGAGGTTCATAAAACCGTATAAGCTTCGTCCATTGCTCCCACAGGAGGTTTCTGCTACCCGTCCATTCTCTCGAATCGTCTTATCAGTAAATCGATCGGTAGTTTCATAAGACATCGATCTATATCACTGATTGCTTGTGGTAAAAGAGCGTAAAAAGAGGCGGACGTCATTAAAGCGACAAGCCCAAATTTCGATGTTATTTTGTTTCTAAAAGTAAAATTCATGCTATGTAAGCATCATGAAGATTATAATTAATATTCTAAAGTAATATTAATTAATTTATCAAAACCACTATTAAAGCTACTCTACAAGAAACGCTTTTCAGACGCTCAAGATCAAGCAAATTTTAAACCACTAAAACTCGGCAAAAAATCATCACAGATAAAAAACTAGAAAACCATTTTGAAGCTGGAAGTTTGTACTTTCACGTACTTTAAACCAATTTTTTGCAAATTGTTTTTATCTTTACATTTCTAAGCTCAAAAAGGAACATATTTTATTCTTAAAATTATATATCTTTTTGTCGAGTTTAAAAGTGTAAAGATAAACAAATTTTTAGAAAACGGCCTAAAGTACAAGTTTCAAGCTTTAAAATGCTTTTTGAATTTTTTGTCTACGATGATATTTCGCCGAGTTGCGGTTGAAAATTGTTAAATTATAAACGACTCGACGCGCAGAATAGTGCGGCAGACTAAACGGCCGACTGACTGAATGCGCTCCATTAATACGGCGGTCGTGCGTAATAATGGCGCGCACTCAGCCAGTCGGCCGCACCTTTTGCGTCGAGACGTTCAGACGCTTAAAATTGACTAGTTTTCGAACCGCTGTTACTCGGCAAAAAGTCATTGTAGAAAAAAAATTTACAAAGTATTTTAAAGCTTGAAACTTGTATTTTTACGTGCTTTAGGCCGTTTTCTAAAAATTTTGTATCTTTACACTTCTAAGCTCGATAAAAAAACAAGTACTTTCTACACTTTGCGGCTAAATAAAAAAATGTATGATAAATGCAAAAACTACAATATTTCATCAATTCTACCAAAACCAACTCTACACTTTGTGAAAAATAATGTTTACCATCGGCAGTAGCACTGACGTAAAAAAACAGGTTTAGTTTCAAAGTCGTGTAACTCGGCTAAAAAAATCGTCGCAAAATTTAAAAAAACGCGTTTTATAGGTAAAATGTTGTAGCTTTTGAACTTGTTATAAATTTTACGAAAAAAAGTTTTTATCGAGCTACAACAAAGTGTTGAACGTAAGCGATTTTAAAAAACAAAACAATATTCTTTTCTGTTTTTTTACGGCTTAGAAGTGTAAAAATAAAAAATTTTCAAAAACAATCTAAAGCATGTAAAAGTATAAAAATCGAGCATTAAAATACTTTTTTAATTTTTTGTCTGCAATGATTTTTTATCGAATTTTAGCGATTTGAAAATTGCTTTTGTGCGTCTGAAAAGTGTTCCTTAGTATTTTTTAATTATTTAAATGTATTTTGACTTGAAATAAAACCAAATTAACAGATAAAATTATTCATATGTATTATGTGTTGATAATAAAAATTTCCAAAGGTTTAACAAGCCTAACGCATAATCTTAAGAGAGTTATCACAAAAAATCTATACCACGTCGACAGGGCTTCTATAGAGATGCAAATCTTTCGGCAAAGTTTTCCACAGTGGCCCTGATGACTTTCCAATGACTTCCAACCACTATCGTCGTTTTCTTGTGGTTGTTGCACTTAGGCGAACCATGATTTCCCTTCATGACAAACTTGTTCAACTCATGGAAACTTACGGAGTTTCAGACATATTCAATTACTTTGGAACTCGCACATATTCGCACGTCTCTCATAACACTTTATACTACATATTCAGTCAAAGACAATTTACATGTTAGCACGACATACACAGATTATACGGAATCAATTAAACTTTTAATAATAAACTCGATCGACCTTCTAATTAGTAGAATTATTATATCAACTAAAAGTTTATATTATTCTGTTCTAATATTCTTTTCTATCTTAATCAACAAAAATATACAAAAAGCACAAATAATAAATTGTTTATTATGTCTTGTCTTCATACTAATGTCGCTAATTCATTGCGATATAATTAAAAACTATAGCATTTCTGTGCAAATTTAATTAAACGTAGCGCAGTATCGCGTATACCCGAAAGATGTTTTGTGCGCGATAGTAAATGCTCGAGAAGTTATGAGAGGCAAAAGAAGATCGATCGAAGATTCAACAGCCGACAGAGATATAAGGCAGAAAAGACGGAGAAGGGAGAAAGGCGTGAAAAAGGGTGCGCCGTGCAGAGAAATATATCACATTAAAAGTTTTTTTTATTTTATTTCACCGTATTGATCGACGGGTTCTCTACTGCACACCGACGTGTCGACATTGTTTACGCTTTTGCGCGGTACAACAAGCCAGACGTATACACTTCATCGAATTTGCGACGGACATGTATCTGTCTCCTTTTCCGTTGAATTTTTTTCCCATGCGGTCCTATGCGGCTAAATTAAGCTAATTGCAAGCAGCAGAGACACGGATATTCTTCCACCAACAAAAAAA